ATTTTTTGTATTTGTTTAGTTTTAAGATTCTGAATTGAAAGTCTTTTTTTGTACCGTATTTTATCTTCAGTTACATCATGTTTTCCAATAATAATAAAAATATTATTAGTAGTAATAATTATACTCAATATTATTTAATATGGGGGTCACGAAAAAAATTCCACAATGAAGGTGGGTCCCGAGACAAATAAGCTTGGGAAACACTGCTACGGAATATTTCAAATGAAAATTTTGTTATTGTTAAGGTGACTGATCAAATGAAAAGTTGTATTGAAACAAAGTTTATTCCATTCAAGGTACGATTTTGACGAAAAACTTGGAAAACAAAGAAAACACTTTTACGTTAGTAATTTCCTTCCTCTATGGGCAGGAGCAATGGACGATAATGTGAAAGAAGAGAGAGGTCGCAGAGCTGCTGAATATTTGAAAAAGAAAGGAATCGTGAATTTCCAAGGAGGTATTCCATCTACTCTGTTACAGACGGGGCAACAATGGGACTTTCCTAACGCTTGGCCCCCTTACCAAAACCTGATAATAATTGGTTTAGACAAGAGTAATAGTACAGAAGCTAAGGAAGTTGCTAAACAACTGGCACATAAATGGATCAACTCGAATATTAAAGGTTTTCACGATAACAAAGCGATGTTCGAAAAGTACGATGTTCAGACAAGTGGTCAATTTGGTGGAGGGGGGGAATACAATGTCCAGGCTGGGTTTGGATGGAGTAACGGCGGAATTCTCGAGCTCATTCATTTATACTACAGGGCTAAAACTAGAAAATATATCGGTAGTTTCTGAAGGTTAATTTCGACCGCTGAGTAAATCGTACATCTTGTTGTTTTCTTCAATATAGTTTTCCTATTCCAGTATTGTTCTCATAACTATCGCTATCGGTTATAAATGGAAATGAATAAAAGTGAATCCAGCTTTATAGAGATGAACAATCAAAATTAACACCACTATTTCCAGATTGTGACAAATTCAAAGTCTTCTGCATATTGACACGTGTGAATGAGAGGCTTTTCACAGTAAAGAACTTGTTCATGATGAAGATAAACAATGTGACCCCCACGACCCCCACGAGCAGATTTTTTGCCTCGAAATCGTTATTTTCGAGAACCCCCGAACTAGATGTCAACACAAGTAGCAAATCTCGTAAAATTTTAATCTTTTTCAATAGATTTATTTTCAGATCGCGGCAACCTGCGTTTGGTTGTTTCTCGATAGAGAGTACA